CCCACCCCACCCCCACTTCAATTTGAATTTGCATAGGAGCAATTGGTAGTGTGCACAGTCAGTCCCTGGACTTAACTTACTCTACCACTTTCCATAGATGTACTCAATTTGATTCCTGTGTATTCCGTGATGTGAGGTTAATGCAATTGGATGGTTTATTGAGTGTTAAGTGTGTCATATTGACTATGAAGAAGCCTGTCCTATTGTCTTTCTCATCATCTGAGATACCTGAACCCGTTGCTGCAGTCACTATGTCAATCCAATTTGTTGAAGGTCTTCCTCTTTTGCTGACCTTCACTTTTCCAACTGTAATGTCCCTTTCCAAGAAATAGTCAATAACAAGCCAAAGTATGAGTTAAATCTTCAATCTTTGCCTCCAAGTAGCACTCCGGCTGCACCTTCTCCAAGACATTATCTATTCTTTTTGTAATATATGGATTACCAGTACTCTTTTCCAACACAGCTGAAAGGCACTGGTGATTATCTTGTTAGCCTTTTCATTGTCCAGCTCTCAGATGCATAGTAGGTAACTGGAAAGATAATTTTCATCACTGCTCTGTACTTTAGAGGTCTCTGACAGTGGATTTGCCCAGTGCAGTGTCTCTTGACTGCTAGTACCAAAGGTGTTGACTTTAGATAGATCCAAATAAGATGAAATTATTGACAACTTCAGTGTTTTCCTCCATCTTTCATGATGTTGCCTATCAGCCTAGTGATTTTCCCGCCCTTGATACTGATCCAGTATATACTGAAATTGAAGGCTGTAGTCTTTGCTCTTCTGCACCAAGAATTTTAAGTCCTCCTTACCTGCAACAAGTAAAGTTGTGTCATCTGAATAATGCAAGTTGTTTATTGAGTGTTCCTTCAAACTTAATGCAACAATCTTCAGACTCCCCCTTCTTAAGTGATCTGCTTAGCCTTCTTATTGAATAGGTATGTACAAAGGATACAACCGTGATACACACCTTTGATTTTAAACTAGACAGTGCTCCTTTCCTTTGTTTGGACAACAGTCTTAGGTACAGGTTTTGTATGAGCACAAGTGTTCTGGGATTTCCATTCTTCATAGTTTGTTATGAGCCACACAGCCAAATGTCCATGTGATTTATATCTCCAAAAACCCACTGAGAAGTTGGATGATTCAGTTCTGGCTCAACAGCAATGAATTTAGAGATGTGTGAAAAGTTCGACAGTAATAAGGACTGAAAGGAGCGTATGTGAAAACTGAGGCCCAGAAAAAGACTCCTAAGGTATCTTAGAGGCACTCTGGTGGTCTAATGGCAGGAAGTAGCATTGCAATCCCAAAGGCTCATGGTACATATCTACCTGCTGCTCTGTGGAAGGATGGGCAGTCTCTTTCCATGAAATTTACTGCCTCTAAACCCCTGCTGGAGGGTAAGCTATAAGTTTGTTCCAACTTGATGTCACATAACAAGGTATTTTGATCTTTTCTGTTACTTGATATGCAACTGAAAGTAGGACAGTGAATAAGGGTGATAGTAGATTCTTTTGAGTGGTGGTATTGCGAGAAGACTGCTGAATATGCCATGGACTACCAAAAGAACAATCAAATTTTGTCTTGGAAAATGTGCAGTTAGGGTGATACTTGGAGGCAAGGACCATGAAACTCTGTCTCACATACTCTGCTAAGAGGCAAGTCTTTGGAACAAAGGACATCATGCTTGAAGGTGGATGTTCAGCTTAAGAGGGAAAGGCCTCACTCACCAGATCCTCTGCTGGAGGAGGAGGAACAGTCTCCTCCTGTACCAGTCAGATTCGATTTGATGGTACACACACACACTCTCTCTCTCTCTTTAAAAAAAGAGGGGAAGGCCTTCACTGAGATGGATATAGTGACTTTTAGCAGTGTGTTCCAGTATGGCAAAGGACAGGGCAGGGTTCAGATCTACCGTTCATTGTGGTGTTCCTGTGAGTAGTGATCAGTTCAGAGACATGACAATGATCATCTCTTATTTTACATCTGATCCAAAAGCCCTGTTCTTTACCCTAAGCTGTTACATGTTGTTAGGTGCCACTTAGTCAATTCTGATTCATGGCAACTATGTACAAAAGAGTGAAACACTGCAGTCCTGTAGCTTCCTCACAACTGTTGGCATGTTTAAGCCTGTGAAGTATTGCTAGTATGTCGAGCCATCTTGAAGGTCTTGCTTTTCTTTCCTCAACCTTCCTCTTTATTACCAAGAATCATGTCCTATTCCAAGGAGTCTCTCATGTGCTGTCATGTTGACCCTATGTACAACAGCCCTAAACCCTGCTCTGTCCTATGCCAGTCTTTGTCTCCAACACACCTATCCCCATTACCCTAGTCACTGTATTTGTCTCATCGAGGGCGTTCTTCTTGTGCTGTCCCTCCACCCTCCCAAGCATGACATCCCTCTCCAAAGACTGGTCCCTCCTTGCAGTATGTCCAAAGTATGTCAGACGAAGCTTCAGAGTGCTCACCTCCAAGGTGTCAGCCTGGTTTCACCATCTGTAGGATGAACCTGTTCATTGTTCTAGTCATCAATGGTATATTCAACACTCTTCTCCAGCACTACAGCTCAAAGGCAGCAATTCTATCATCCTGAGTCACTGTCCAGCTTTCTGGCACATAGCAAGTAATTGCAAAGACCACAGCATGTCCAAAATGAAGATGAAATTTGACCATCTCTGCTTTCTATGCATACTTCTGTTCTCTGGCACAGATAGTTAATATCTTCTGCTGACGTCTTTGGTTTCTTCGATTATTTGGTAAGAAAAAGGGCAACAGATGGAAGTGTATCATGTCAAAGATCAGAAGACTGAGAGGAACTGAGAGCAATCTAAAAGGAGCAATCTTCCTTATGATGAAATTCTAACCAAAGCCAAATCAGTTTACTGTCGAGAGTCATTTCCACCTGGCTTGTTTAAAAAAGTCAATTATATAATTTTACAATTAAGGAGCTTCTGTGTGTTCTATGTTGTGCTACCAAGTGCTTCTTGGGAGAGATGGGCAGTAGGTGGCCTAGTGTCAAGAAAATGCATGGCAATCACAAAGGCACAAGGTTTGAATCTGTCTGATGCTTCACTGAAAAAAAAAAAATAGGCATTGTCCTCCTGCGCCATTTACTGCCTCTGAAGGGTCAGGGATTTTTTGAGTCAATTTTTGAGTTGGAGTCAGTTCCGATTTTATGACACATGACACTTCCATAGAGATTTACAATCAGGGAAACCCAAATGAAGGATTACTATTAGCCAAAAAGAAGCCATTTGACAGCAGTTGAGTTTTACTCTCACTTTGAAAAAGAGTATGTTACTAATAAACTAAAACTATATAAATAATAATAAACTACATTGAGCAGGTTTCTTCACAATGATGTATGAACACAATATGCAGAACAGCCTAGTTAATAATAGTGAACTTTTCTTCACAAGCTAAAGGTCTAACAAGATTAAATTATGGAGCCAGGCTGTTACTAGGGAGAAATGTTAAAAGTTTAAAAGGACCATATAAAATAGTATAAATTATTTGATCCATAAATTTTCAAAGCATATACACATGGAACAGAACAGATTTAAGTAAAAATGTTTAGAATCTTGTGTCATTTTATTACTCTTACTCTGGTTATTTCTAAAATAGCCATGTCTTTCCTTTAGAACAAGAAACTCTTTGTTGTTGTTCCTGTATTATTTCAAGTTGGAACTGACTTATAGGTGATGACACTCTGATGGGTTTTCAGAACCAACAAATAGTACAGGAGAAGACTGGTTATCCTTCTCCAGTGAGCAGCTGGTGGACTTGAATCCCATTGCTGCTCAGTTGGCAGCACAATTCCTTATCACTAGCTAGTCCACCAGAGCTCCCTTAAAAATAGTAAGGCAGTAATGGTTATTTAAAGACAATTTACTATTCCCTATTATATTTTATCTGAGAATCTCTGAGGGTAAAGAATTTTTTTCAAGAAATTATTTTATAGGAAAATGTTGAAATAATCCACAGTGGGGAAAAATAATTAAGATACAGAATTCTTTTGAATTATCAAATATGCTACAAATAGGGCGAGAAGGTTAGAAGCAGATAATATAGAATATTGACATGTATGCCTAGGAAGTAAATTATTGATTATTTTAGTTCTTTACATTTTACCTTTTTTAAACTTCTAGTAAGAATATTATCAAAAAACTTGAGTTTTTGAAGACAGTATTTTAAATATGACTCAATGCAGCATCTTGGAAACATGCTAGTTTCCAAATACCTTATAGTTTTTTCCCGTTTCTTCAACAATGGTGCTCTGAAGCAGAAACGGAAACATGAAGTAAAAAGCAAATTTTATACGGCAGCCTCTATCTGTTAAACTTTGAAATTTCTCCTTGGCTTTGATAAAAGACACAAAACATAAGACAACTTATGGGAGTAAAAGACAAAACAGATTTTTATCTGCACTGTTTTAAGTACCTTTTCTTTCCTTTTACTGTAAGCTTTTAGAAAACATTTGTGGTATCCCTTGTTTTGAAGTCTGTCAGTATATAACCCTACAAATTTATATTTTTATAGTTCTCTAGTGCCAAAATCACTAAGGTAGTTGTTGGAAATCAGCCAAAATGGGGGGATTTATCACAAACTTGTAATTACAAAGGTTTGGCAGATTAAAAAGGTTTTTTTCCTTAACAGTTTAGAAAATATAAGACCATAGAAGTAAAACTAGTTTCATCTTTCCTAGATGAAAACAAAGCCTCTGAAATCAAATATGCTACAAAAGCCTTTTCAGTCAATCAAGATTAAAGATACTTCTGATTCAGCTGCTGCTTGCACACATAAAGACCACTGGCTGGACCTCGTAATAAATCAAGTAAATGAAATTGAAAAGTTCCTAAACTTAAAATGTGACAGTCAGCCTAGAAAAAGAAAAGTAGAAGAAATGTCGGAAAAAGCAGATTAAAGTATTGATAAATACTTCCAATATCTTAGCTGATTTCTGTGTTTTCATTAGTATGATTATGACTGTCACACCTAGTCTTTAACTGGTGTCCTGTTCACTTTCCTGATGTAATTAAGTTACTTGGCATCTACTCTGAAAATACGTCACTCAAGATAGTCTGTTCCTGTATCCAGGTCCCCTTAAATAACTTACAAATCTGTTGACATTATTCTCTGTCCAGGTAGGCTCACTTTAGTTCTTGTATTCTGCTTCAAAAATCCTTCCTTATAGAACACATATATTGTCAATTATACAAGGTAGACATACTGACCCTTTCTCATTTATTACTTTGCATCCACTAGAATTTGAGATTTATTTTATTATAAATTCGAGACAATAAAGGTTCAGACTGTAGTTAAAATTTTACTTCATAATGTTTTACTATCATTTAGATTTTTCTTCTCCAAAAGAACAACATGGTTTGCATAAAAATTCAAGTATCAGAAAGACTCAAAAGGCTGTTTTTCACTTTGTTCAAGTTTTGTTTCCAGGCATTAAGTGTGTCATACAGCTGTTGCCACTGTTGTTTTCCAAATGTCCGATGTGTGCTATGGCTGAAGATTGGGAGAAGGGGAACAAACCCAAAGCATTAATTAGCCAATCTCTGATCCTATGGCATTTGTTCACATATTCTACACACTTCTATTTAGTTAAATGATATACATACATAAGAGGCACAATTTATATTTAAAAGAAAATATAACAAAATTTCTTTTTTAAAATATTTACCACATTTATTCTAAACCTATTATTCTCCTGAAGAACTATATAAAGCAGACACAAAAGTCATTAGTATTCTAACCAATGCTGAGCCATTAAATGAAATGTGCTGGAAAATAGGACTCTTTCATTAAATAAGCTAATCACATTCAGTCTGAACTTTAATAAAATTATGATAAATAGCAACTATTTAACTACAGTCAACTGATAAGTACATCACCTTTGTTCTAGTTAGAATACTAAACACTTAAGTGAAAGAATAAGAATAAACTAAACTATCTTATAAGCAGCAAACTATTACAAGTCTTACCTGACAACTACTTTTCTCTGGGTCTGATCAATTTTGCAGTAGACCATTTTAGTTCTTACGGCTGAAAAAAGATATTTTACAAAATATGTTATATAAAAAATTTCCAAGGCAGTAACTAAGGTATGAAACTGTGACTGAGCCATAATAAAACTTTATAATATTTTCCAACATTACTTAATCTGGCTGTTTGAATTTAACAGTAAGTAAAACAATGTGATGCAATCAAGAGGAATTTAATTTACTTGATCTGTATTTTCTAGGCCTACCTAAACTGATCATATATAGTTTTAATATGAATTTCAGTGTTCTCTAACAACAGTAACTACCTAATAAGGTACTATGACTTTAGATTTTAGATCATGAGAAAGACATCAACCAGCAATCCTTTCCCCCCCCCCCAACAATCCTATATATCTTAAAATTATTAATCATTAACACATATACCGGGCTGCTCCGGGAGGCAAGGATTCCAAGGCTCTGTCTTAACATACTTTGGACATGTTGCAAGGAGGGACAGGTCCTTGGAGAGGGACATCATGCTTGGTAGCGTATAGGGACAGCGCAGAAGGGGAAGGCCCCTTATGAGGTGGATTGATTTAGTGACTGGGGTAATCGGGACGGGTGTGTCGGAGACGTGCGATTGGCACAGGACAGAGCAGAGTTTGGGGATGTTGTACATAGGGTCGCTATGAGTCGCAAGCGACTCGATGGCACATAACAACGATGTCTCCTTGCTCTGTTCTGACGACTGCCTCTTGGTCCAAGTATAGGTTTTGCATTAGCACAATCAAATGTTCTGGGATTCCCATTCTTCTCAGAGTTAGCCATAGCTTGTTGTGATCCACATAGACTATGCCTTTGCATAGTCAT